TTAATAAAAACCCGGTGTACCAGATGGGAGAAACGAACAGGCACTAAAAACTGTTGGTAACGTCTATCCGTGTTAGATTGGGTTAGGGCCCAATGATCGGTATCATGATATTGGGATTATTACATGATATCACAGACGACTAAATCGTGTAACTGATTATAGTAGACACTCGATTTATTGGGAAAAAAACCTATCCGTGTACTTATTAAGACATTTAATGATTCTGATACGACAAAACCACTGTCGAACTAAATAAAACTATAAATAATAATAATAAGCTATTTAGTAAATGTAAATATATAAAAACTAGTTCTTACTTAAATAGGTTATGCACTGATGATTTCCGGATCTTCTTTAATTTATTAATACATTTGCTTTGACCTATCCTAACTGAAACTGCAAAACAACTGTACATTAATACATTGGGTATTTGACGACAGTCGAAATCCAACATGAGTGTTGCGCTATTTGATGTGTATTTGTTCGGTCTTATTGTACCTAAGTAAATAAAGATGTTGGACTAAATTTTTTCTAATTAATTATTAATCCTTTCTTTTAAATATTCATTTACCTAACCACTAACAAGTATTATTTTTTTCGTACATTTTTGGAATAGAAAATTATATAGTTTATATAAGTTTTTTATTTATTTTAGTAGTAACCTCAATAGTTTAATCTCTATATTAATTCTATAAGATTTTTAAAATTTTTACAACTAATAATGTTTTTTTTGTTTAATTAGAAATAAACATAATTTCACAATATTTTTAAGAATATAAATAGTATTTTACTTTTTATATAGACTATATTATTATAATATGATTTAAAATAGCGACTCAATCAACAATCATAAATATATTTGCATTATACCATAATACCACTGCTGATAAAGTATGTAATTACTAATAATATTGTATGTCTTTCGGGTGGTCTTACCAAGCGGTGGTGAGACATCAGGGACATCAGAACCATCAGGGAACAATCAGGGAACTATCTTGCCCGTATCTATAAGAAAATTTTTAAAAAATGTAAATATATAAAAACTAGTTTATACATCAATAGGTCAAGCACTGATGATTTCCGGAGGCTCCTTAATTACTTAATACATTTGCTTTGACCTATCCTAACTGAAACTGCAAAACTAGTGTACATTATTATATTGGGTATTTGACGACAGTAGACAAGAACTCTATGGTACAAGTAATAATAATAATACTAATATGTCGTTGTTTCAGCTTTTGTCTAACTTAAATCGAAATGCATTACCCAAAGATGTATTAGAATTGATAAATGGTCCTGATTTTTTAAAAGCACTAAATGATGTAAAAGATGAGACAGCTTTAATTTGCTGTGAGTATTAAAAAAGTATTTTTCTCTAATAAGAAAAGCGAAAACAAGGGTATTTTAATTATCCATTTTCAATACTGTACAGTCTACTGTTTTTTTATTGGGTTTTCTTAGAAATTTATATTTTTTTAATTCTCAGTTGTACTTAGAAAAAAGTAACCAAGAGGGCATATAACTCTAAAAAATGTACTTTCTTGATATAGTAGAAATTAAAGTCTGAATTTATCACAAAATGTAGATTTACAGTACATCAAAAGAAATTTAAATTTAGAAAAATGTACCTATTGAAAAACACATTTGTAGTCAAACGTTTGTCAATTTTATCATTTACCAACTAATTTACTTCTGAAATAATTGCACATTTGTAGTGTTGCTTTTTGAAAATATTTTTAAATAAACCAAAATTGCTTTTACTCATAGAAACAATGTTTTAAATTAAAAATAATACCTAGTAGCTTATGCAAATTTACGGATAAATTAGTTTACATGGTCGAAATTTATTAAAACCTGTTTTTTCCTGTAAATATTGCTTATACACAAATACTTAAAAACAAGCCACATCCTAATGTCCTTAAGTATATTAGGATGGACCTTAATAAGTTGATTTTCGAATTTTAAACAAAACGCCCCCTAAAAAGTTTCTTAGTACAATAAAAATAAGATATAAAAAGCTACAGAGTATCGTCAGTACGGTAAGTCAGTTTCGTGCTAATGGTTGTTTTTCGATTTACGCCAACATATATTACAATATGTTACCTAACTAATATTTTATTAGTTTTATACAATTAAGAGACCAAACTTGAAATATTTTTTGTGTAGTTTGGAATGTACAACTAGACTCAGAGTTTATTGGTTAGCTTATCTTTACCAGGAACTTTATTCGTGAAATAGTTTCAAAGCATCCGATAAATTTATGTGAACTGCAAAATAGTGCACGTGAATATGTATATTGTTTCACAAAATCAAAATTAAGAACTAGATATTATTCAAAGAGAAAACAAATCAAATTGATCAGTATGTTCATGACAGACGTGAAAATTTATCATTAAAACAAAAATATTGATGTTTGTAAATTATAATATATTTGTTTTGTTTGATTGGAGCTTTATTGTTTATTTTTATAATAAACTGTATGTTAAAAATCGTTGTTTATATTTTAATTTGTCACGTACAGTTAAACAAAACACACGGCCTATTTTCCGCCAATTAGGTATTATACTTTATTTGTCCAAAATAAAGGTATATTGGTATCTATTGAAGATTTAATGCCAATTTTAAATGTCGCCCCGTTGTCAACAAAGCAAATAGATTAGTCCTTATTATCTTGTATTAAGATGGCGTCTAACACAAGTTTTTTTATCAAAAACCCCGTTTAGTGGGCCTAATTTTACAAACGCTGTAATTAAAACTGAGACACCAAATTTTGACATAATATAGGCAACAACATTGCCTGTGCTCTACTATGGCCTTTATTTCCACCCAGTTAACGAATAATTAAATAATTAAGAAAGGACTTTTGACATTTTCATGTCTTAGCTCTGTCACATAACCGAAAAAAGCGTTACGCTGTTATCTGATAAGAGATATTGTACGTTCAACGTTTAAATTAGAACTAAATAATAAATTCAAAATAGTTTGCTTCTCTATGATAAATTACTTTTGGCCAGATAATAAACACTACAATTTTAGCCAGAAAATTGATTGTACATATATATTTAATCTTCTTGGCCTTGTGCTGTAACTGGAAGCTCCACGTCATTTTTTATTATAATTCCACAACTAATCTAAATTTATTCGGTACTTCAACGAGACATGAAAATGTTCTATCGTGGTTGCAGACTCGGCTGAAAAATGGCTGTTTTTTATTTAGTTATTTCAAATACAAATATACTGTACACCTAATCCCTATAATAACTAATATTAGTTGGACCAAGTTTTTATTAAGTCAGTCCAACTGGAGATGTTATTAACCTTTAAATTAATCATAGTTTAGTTTGACCAACTTTGTATTTTATGAAGAGTTACTTGTTTAATTAAATTTAAAGCTATCAAAAGGGACATCTTGTGCCCAATATATTTTTATATTTGATCGGGATTCTTTAAAAAAAACTGTTTCATCGATGATTTTCTAACTTAAGGCTTTGTAAAATAAAATATTTAGTTCAAAAAATATCTAGAATATTGGACAAGTATTTTATACAACGCTAACCCAGATGGTTTTTTGTTATCGAAGTATTTTTTTCGGCCATGGTAATTTTTAGACACATAGAACGGTCTGTTATTTTACAAATAACATTGCCTTTTGCGTCATACTTTAATAAAACTGTATCTACATAGTTTGAATAATATTTGTTAAATAATGTATATTATACCTATTTCAATTTAATTCGACGCCTAATAGTTTTAAAACTAATTAATCGAAAATTAGTCTTTTAGAAAAACTAAAAATTAAAATTATTTTTCAACAAAGTAGTGTCTTATCCTTAATGAATGGTCGTTAAGGTTTCAACATTAAATATATGTCACATATTTTTACTATTGATTTGTATACCATCCTCCTAAACAGAAAAAATACATATTAGGACCAACTAAAATATAGTTAATATAGGGACACGATTAATTTCTTGTTAGAACGACTAAATAAATAATTGGCCCAACTCAATGGCAATAGGAACAATTTTGTCCAACTGAAAATGTTTTGTACCCTTAAATTAATCACAATTTTAGATAGACTAACTTTGTATTTTAGGAATAGTTACTTATTTACTTAAATTTATAGCTATCAAAAGCGACATCTTTTTTTTTTTTTAATTAGTCATCACTAGAAATAGAAGTAATGAAAAAAAGAGGAGTTTAGATTGTTATGCGAATTATGCTTTTGGTGGAACCTAAAAGTGTGAACGCAATTTTAGAGTAATGTAAATTGGAATCAAAGATATCCAATAATAGACAAAATACTTATAAATTATAATTAGACACAGTCAACAGTTACTTATAGTTAGTAGTTTTATGTATTTTTATTCACTACTGCAATCTTATTAAAAACTACAAGTTGCAACAATACAATAATTAAATATAATTTTATCGCTACTTTGGGAAGTTGAATTAAAAATCATTATTCTAATTCATATATATTAACATGCAAGGCCTTTAATGCCTAATCAGTAATATTTTATTTTTTAAACTTGCATTTCAATTTTACTTTAATCTTTGATTGCAAATACTTTTTATAATCAGCATATCTTTTCCTTACATATAATACATTTTTTTTTACATTTTATAAAGTAGTTTCCCACAATTTTTGCATAGCTTTATTATTGTATTCTACCACACAAAAGTTAAAAATATCATGTTGTCGTTTGTTGTTCATCGAAAACAAGTGATTATTTTTCTTAAACTAATTTTGTTTTGTCGTTTGTTTATTCAAATGTTTGAACTATGTTACAATAAATATTTTGTACGTAAATGCAGGCCTATTTTTCGCTGTACCCTTCATATAACTTTAGGTGTGTCACATTCTTGTGACACACCTGGTCTAAAAGTTTGTTATCGTCGTAATAACATCTTGAATAAAGCATATTTTGTCTTAAGTAAACACAATAGTATGGCGTATGCGAATATTTGCACACCTAACCAACAAACGGCATCCCGAGCACCACTAACAGCATTAGTGTGATTTTTATGTTCTTTGCGTTCAGTTTATCAAGCATTAAAAAAAGTAAGCGTTATTTGAAAATATTTTTAGTAAGACAATGGTATCGTAAGACAAGTTTTTCTTTAAATTGTAAAATGGTTCTTCTTAATGCCAACATAAAACAATTACAATTGAACATATTTATATATGTCTTTTTTTCTCAAAAAATTATTAAACTTTGGTAACGTTTACATTTCAAACTATACCATATTTAACTTTTTATAAAGTATATACATTTTTAACTTTTTTTTGGTATTTTTTAAAGCGCTAACAACTTTTGAACATTTCGTTTCGTGTACCAAGGTTATTATTTATAACAAATTATGTGTTTTTTATTGTTTTAGGTAATTAAGATGAAATCCATCATGAGTGTTGTGTATTTATTCGGTCTTATTGTAAGTAAATATAGATTTTAGACTAAATTTGAATTGTATATAATATTTAAAAAATAATTGCTGTTAAACATTTTTTACGGACTGTTTCAAAATGTTTTAAAAGCCAGATATTAAACACTACAATATTAGCCAGAAACTTGATGTTTCAATATACTAGCTTGTTACTGCTTCTTAATATACTATATCTATAATTCCACCACTACTCTAAATGAATTCGGTACTTCAACGAGACATGAAAATGGTCCCAAAACGACTGTGATAAATTTATATCTGTGATAATTATTTGTTTGTTGTGATTTTTTTATTGTTTAAGTTGTACGTCATGTGTGGATGACTTCTAAAAGACCATCGTAAAATATTGGGTACTTGTACTAAGATTAGTATTAACCTAACCTACATATTCGTTGGCTGTATCAATAGATTTAGATGTAATTGTATTGAACAACCACATATTTTTTCTGCTCTTTTGTGATATATATAATACTACTGCAAGTGAAGTATGTTATTACTAATATTAGTGTATATCTTTTAGGTTTCTTTGAACAGTTCGCCTATGATACCAAGCGGTGGTGAGACATCAGGGACATCAGAACCATCAGGGACATCAGAACCATCAGGGGCATCAGAACCATCAGGGACATCAGAACCATCAGAGGAAAATCAGGAAACCATCTTGCCCGAACCTATAAGAAACTATTTAGTAAATGTAAATATATAAAAACTAAGTTTTACTTAAATAGGTTATGTACTGATGATTTCCGGAGCCTCTTTAATTGATTAATACATTTTCTTTGACCTATCCTAACTGAAACTGCAAAACTAGTGTACATTAATACATTGGGTATTTGATGACGGTCAAAATCCAACATGAGTGTTGCGCTATTTTGCTGTGTATTTGTTCGGTCTTATTGTACGTAAAGTAAGATTTTGGACTAAATTTTATCTATTTTATTATTAATATAGTTTGATCCTTTTCTTTAAATATTCATATACCTAACCACTAATAAGTATAATTTTTTTCGTACATTTTTGGAATAGAAAAATAATATATAGTTTAAATTAGTTTTTTATTTTTTTTTAGAAATAATCTCAATAGTTTAATCTATATATAAATTTTATATTTTTTAAATGTTTAGAACTAATGTTCTCTTTTTTAATAGAAATAAACATTATTTCAAAATATATTTTTTTTAAATATAAATAGTATTTTACTTTTTGTATGGACAATATTATTATAATATGATTTAAAATAACCGCAGTAACTCAATCATCAATCATAAATATATGATATCAATCTTGACAGCACACAAGCTATTGCCTATTTATTTCCTTGTAATATTGGGCAATCACTAACTCCCAGAGCCTCAATAAGTTCATAATAAATTGCCTATGTGGGGTCCCAAATGTGGGAGTTCCTTCTAATGTTAATAATGAAACTATTTTTTCGTAAATATTATTTTAAAAATGCTTACTGTTAAACATTTATTACAGATTGTTTTTTTTTAAATAATCTGTTTTTTTAGAGCATTTTTGCTCTCAGGAAAAAAAATTATATGGCCCATCTCCACATTTTAATTTAGATTTTATTAAACATTTAGTTTTATCAAAAAAAAATAAATTTAATTAAATCCAGATTTTTAATATTTTATTAAAACTAAAACTTAAAAGTGTGGATAATGTAGTTTCTTAATATTTACTAAATAATTTTTCAAATACTTTTTGACTACCATCATATAATATGGGCCACTTTTACCAGTATTAGTATTCGTTGGCTGTATCAATAGATTTAGATGTAATTGTATTGAACAACCGCATATTTTTCCTACTCTTTTGTGAGATCTATAATACCACTGCAAGTGAAGTATGTTATTACTAATATTAGTGTATGTCTTTTAGGTTTCTTTGAATAGTTCGCCTATGGTACCAAGCGGTGGTAAGACATCAGGGACATCAGAACCATCAGGGAACAATCAGCGAACCATCTTGCCCGTACCTATAAGAAACTTTATTATAAATGTAAATACATAAAAACTAGTTTTTATATAGTGATCAAGCACTAATGTTGCTTAATACATTTGCTTTGACCAATCCTAACTGGAACTGCAAAACTAGTGTACATTAATACATAGGGTATTTGACGACAGTCGACAAGAACACTATGATACAAGTAATAATACTAATACTAATATGTGGGTGTTTCAGCTTTTGTCTAAATTAAATCGAAATGCATTACCCAAAAATGTATTAGAATTGATAAATGGTCCTGATTTTTTAAAAGCACTAAATGATGTAAAAGATGAAACAACTTTAAGATTCTGTGAGTATTAAAAAAGTATTTTTCTCTAATAAGAAAAGCGAAAATAAGGGAATTCAAATTGTTCATTTTCAATACTGTACAACAGTCTATTGTTTTTTTATTGGGTTTTCTTAGAAATTTATATTTTTTTAATTCTCAGTTGTACTTAGAAAAAACTTACCGAGAGGGCTTACATCTCTAAAAAAATTTACTTTTTTGGTATAGTAGAAATTAAAGACAGAAATTATCACAAAATTTAGATTTACAGTATATCAAGAGAAATTTAATATATAAATTATACCTATTTCTGAATAGGTCCATTTAGAAAAATGGACCTATTGAAAAACACATTTGTAGTCAAGCGTTTGTCAATTTTATTGTTTTCCAAAACCCAAACTTATAAATGTCTGTAACTTTGTGGAAATTTGTGTAACAAAGATCTGTAAAGCCAGCTTGAAAATATTATACCGAGTAATTCTTTTAACACTCTACACTAATTTACTTCTAAAATAATTGCAAATTTTTAGTGTTGCTTTTTGAAATTATTTTTAAATAAACCAAAATTGCTTTTACTTATAGAAACAATGTTTAAAATTAAAAATAATACTTAGTAGCTTATACATTACGGATAAATTAATTTATATGGTCGGAATTTATTAAAACCTCTTTTTTCCTGTAAATATTGCTCATACAAAAATACTTAACAACAAGCCGCATCCTAACCTCTTTTAGTACATTAGGATGGTCCTTAATAAGTCGATTTTCGAATTTTAAACAGAACGCCCCTTAAAAAGTTTCTAAGTACAATGAAAATAAGATATAAAAAGCGACAAGGTATCATGTCAGTTTTTTTTCAATGGTTGTTTTCCGACTTACGCCAACATATGTTACAATATGTTACCTAACTAATATTTTATTATTTTGATACAACGACGAGACTAAACTTGAAATATTTTTTGTATACAGTTTCGAAAGTACAACTAGACTCAGAGTTTATTGGACAGCTTATCTTTACTGTGAACTTTATTCGTGAAATAGTTTCAAAGAATCCGACAAATTTATGTGAACTGCAAATCAGTGCACGTAAATATATATACCGTTTCACAAAATCAAAATTAAGAAATATATATGCAAAGAATAAACTAAAAGATTTAATCGTTATGTTCATGACGGACGTGGAAAATTATTATAAAAACAAAAATATTAATGATTTCTAAATTTTATTATATTTGTTTTGTTTGATTGGAGCTTTATTGTTTATTTTTTATAATAAACTGTATGTTTATTATTGTTGTTATCTATTAATGGTATATTGTTATCTATTGAAGATTTAAGGCTAATTTTAAATGTCGCCCCGTTGTCATCAAAGCAAATAGATTAGTCCTTATTATATTGTATTAAGAAGGCGTCTAGCACAAGTTTTTTTTATCAAAAACCCCGTTTAGTGGGCCTAATTTTACAAACGCTGTAATTAAAACTGAGACACCAAATTTTGACATAATATAGGCAACAACATTGCCTGTGCTCTACTATGGCTCTTTTTTCCACCCAGTTAACGAATAATTAAATAATTAAGAAAGTACTTTTTTAAAAATAATGTAGCGCTGGTTGTATAATCATTGGCGTACATTCAGTCTTGCTTTGAGGGGGGGGGGGGTTGTAAAAAAATAGTTCCGAAGATATTTTAACTCTTGTTTAGAAGGCCGCATTTTATATTTTTATCTCTGATAAAATTGTAAATTCCAAATTAAATACTTTGAAAAAATAATTTCAAATTTTACTTATTCATTTTATGATTATTTTGACTATTTCAAACTGAGAGTAAAAAAGTTTTATAAAACACTTTGAAAAAACGTTTATTTACATTTTCTTTACACCAACGAAATTTCGGACTTTCTTTACACGTTTTTACTCCTTGTTTTTAGTTGCAATTTTGCTTTTGAAATGCATTTTGGTAACTATTTTGCCCATCCCTGAAAATATATTAATTAATAAAAATTAACAATAACAATAAATATTATTGTGTTATTAGTTATATGTACATATTTTTTAATAGTTTACAGTATAGGTATGCGTTTGAGCATTTGGTAGACAAAAGTCAAAACTGCATTAAAATATAATTAAATTATTATTTATTATAGTTGTTTATTTTAAGTTCTAATTTACTTCAGAAAAGTAACATTGTAACAGTTATACAATAAAAACCTACAACAATTTACAATACAACCTATAATATATCACTTTTTTACAATTTTTTTCCTGGCTCTGGGGGGGGGGGGGTTTAACCCGAACCCACGTGATTTTTGATTTATTCTTCCATGACTTGATTGGTGCGGTTTGACCGTTGAATAAAAACGCTATATGATTACTGTAGTCATCGGACTCAACACCCATCGTATAGTTTACTTTATCACAGTTCGTCACCAGTAGCCGACGCAACAAGTTGTCCTCTGTAGATGCCATTCCAAAATTCCAATTTAGTTTAAGATCAAATCACTCAACGGTGCAACAACTTCTTCGTCTAACGGAACATATAAGCACTTCATTTGAAAGACACTGTCATACTGAGGCAGTCTTTGTTGATATCTCTAAGGCCTTCGATAAATAATGGCACAAGGGTCTTTTGTACAAACTAAGAATTATCAATACGCCGAAAAACTTATTTAATATAATTAACTCCTTCCTATCGAATAGAAAATTCACTGTCAAAATAAATGATAATATCTCTGACCTTCGGTCTATCTCAGCTGGAGTTCCTCAAGGCTCTAAACTGGGTCCCATATTATTTAATATTTATGTAGCTGACTTTCCGCAGTCACCACGTACTAATATTGCCCTCTTCGCTGACGACACAGCTATTTACAGTGAATCCCGTAATATTGAAGCGATAACTGTCAACCTACAGGACCATCTCGATATATTACTAAACTGGTGCAAAAACTGGAAAATACAAATAAATCCTTCACAAAGCACAGGACTTATTTTTAGCCTACGTCGTTATTGTACTCCGATACCACTACAATTCGATAATGAGGATGCCTTGGAAACCTTCAGTCAAATATCTTGGAGTCACATTGGATAAAAGGCTAACGTGGTGGCCACATATATCAAACAAACTACAACAAGCATACAAGCGCCTTTCGATATTATTCCCAATACTAAATAAAAAATCCACAATACATAAAAAATGTTCATTATTGATATACAAGCGTTTATTTTAAAGTGATTTTATTCAATTTTATCACTTTTATTTATAACTGGTACAGTAGAGTATAGGCATAATGTAATCAAAGAAATGCGGAAACAGAGAGGTCACAGGTCTACAGGGATTATTATAAATTAAAGTGATAAAATTGAATAAAATCACTTTCAAATAAACGCTTTGATGCTCATTTGTAACTACAGAACCTTCATTTAAAACTTTCTTACTTTGCTGGTTTATACTGTGCTTGGTTTGGACTGTACTGGCTTGAAAATACTAACTACCGATTTGCATCGAAGCGTTTTTTCGAAAGTGATTTTATCACTTTCAGATTTAAAAATTACTGTAAACCTGTAACCTTCCCGTCCCCACTATACCCCGACCCAGCTATGCTCCGTCCCCACTATGCCCTGACCCCACTGTACTGGTTTTTTTTTTTGCAAAAACGTAGTTGACCAAATAACACATATACAATGTCTTGTAAAATTTTGTTGGAATGGTCGACGGTTGATGTTTCAATCGTTTGTACTAGGGTTGGGCCTATCCGGATATTCGGATATCCAAAATCCGGATATTTTCGGATATCCGGATAATTGATCAACTATCCGGATATCCGAAACTATCCGGATAATTAAAAATTATCCGGATAGTTGCGGATATTCATTTTATTTTTATATGACAAATATACCTTAAAAATATACAGTGTTTTTAATTATACCAAATAGTAAAATAATGACACCTAATTAAATTTTACTATTACATGAATGATTTTTAGATATATCCGTCTCCAGTGGTTGTTAACCGACTATTTGGACTCTTAGCAGAGTCCATCCTCAGGGTTGTCACGACTGTTCCGTTGCCGGTTAATAACCACTGACACGGATATATCTGAAAATCATCCACGTGATATTTCAACCCGTGAAAGTTTCAAAAAATACATAAATTTGAGTACTCAAAAAAATATATTCGGCTGGTTAAAAATTAAATGAATATCCGAAACTATCCGGATAATTTTTAACTATTCGGATAGTTTTGGTTCTACGGATAATTGAAATATTATTTGATATCCGAAACTATCCGGATAGTTTCGGATATCCGGATAGTTGATCAATTATCCGGATATCCGAAATTATCCGGATTTCGGATATCCGTATCCGAATTATCCGGATATCAAATAATTCGGATATCCGCAAAATCCGAATATTAGTTCCAACCATAGTTTGTACTCCATAGTTAAAATTATAATCACTTATTCTCAATAAAATTAATATTTATGTATTATATACTTCCATTAGTGCAATCTCACACAAATTATTTATACTTCATAGATTATATTATTTCGAAGCTATATTATATTTCTACTTTACTAGATTGACAATGTACAAAATAAAATGCAACTAAAAAAACCTTTTCATAGATCCTCAAATGTAAAGGGTGTGGCAGTGAAATGGTTTTCGATTTAAATACATAGGAAAATCACCGTTTTACTGCCCCCCCGCCCTGTATATTAATTTCTTGTTATTTTCTAAATAAAAATTGATTTTTTTACATTTAAATTAAAATAAATTGTATACTGATACTGTGATGGAGAATACAATACATTTTACCTACATATATTACTTATTAGTTAAATATTACTAACGTGTATAGCCACTAGCGGTCGGCTGTTGCCGTTATTTAACAATAACCTTTTACGGAGATTTTAAAAATTATGTTTTTTTAATAATAGTATAGAAGCAGTATCATGATGTTAAATGTTCACGAGATTTGATCTAGTCATAAAATAAAGTACTATCATTCATGACTTTTAAATACTATTAAAATATATCTTAACTTGAACATAGAAATAAAAAAATGAAATATTTTATACAAAATTAGAGCTATAAAATTATAAACTAAAAAATTAAAACTAGCACGAAGCAAATTACATATCTTATATAAGATAATTTAAACAATCATGCGTGAATCTCTTTAAATGAATAACAGTATAATAATATAAAAAATACATTTTGGGGCGTTATACTGCATAAAAACCAACACTTAATCTGAATTCAAAAAAACAACAGTCCTCTTCATAATTTGCAGGTAGTTGGACCTTATATACTCATAGTTGACCTTCGGTACGGTAATATAACGCAGGCGATAAAATAACGAGATAACGACAGTGGTTTTGTCGTATCAGAATCATTAAGTGTCTTAATAAGTACACGGATAGGTTTTTTTCCCAATAAATCGTGTCGTCTGTGATATTATGTAATAAACACAATATTACATATATATATATATATATATATATATATATATATATATATATATATATATATATATATATTATAAACTAGATGGCTAACTGTACATGCCACCAAAAGAGAAGATTGAAGCAGCCACTTTCCGACATTTCGGTGGGATTAGAACCTTATCACGCGAGAATAATATATGTTTATAACAATTACACATATAAATATGTATATAAATATAAAAACAATATTATTTAAAAAAAAATGTAAACAACCTGCTAGACCAAATGGAAAAGGAAAATATTGAAAAGTTAAAGATACCACACGAAGGAGTTTTTTTAATGTAAAAATATATTATTGTTTATAAAAAACAGTTTTAACAATGGTGGTACTCGAAAAAAGATAAATTAACGTTTTATCACTTTCTATACTTATATCCATTGCATATCCCATTTATAGGCGCTTATAAAACAAAAGGTCGCTTATGAGAAGATTACTATATTTTTCTGTTGGGGCTAAAAGGCCAAATTTTTCATAATTAAATGCAATTAAAAAATATGCTTTTTTATTTAATAGATGAATTATTCAAAATAGGGAATAATTCACTTTTCAATGTGATTAAAGCACATTGAATCGATTTTTAAATGATTATTAATCGAAATTAATAAACCGTTGTTTTTTGGCGATTATAGAAAATACTTTTTTAGGGATGGGGTTGGTGAGGCACCTCCTTCGATCCACGCCTGGTGTCTGGCTAATATCTACTTATATAGTTTCGT